ACACAGTATTAGGCACCCATGATATAAGATAGCCCCTGGTTGTACAGTGGTTAAGAGCTTGGCTGCTAACCAAAAGGTCAGCAGTTCAAATCCACCAGCCACTCCTTGGAAACCCTGTGGGGCAGTTGTACTCTGTCCTATAGAGTCGCTATGAGTTGGAATCCACTCAATAGCAGCGGGTTTGGTTTTGGTTGGTACTGATGAAGCACACTGTTTAAATGAGAACAAAAAATGTAAACTGCCAATTATAATGTAATTTGCTAGGTATGTAGAAGGTACAAATGAAGGTCTGATTAATTATGCCTGAGGAGGTTGAGGGCAGTAGAGATCCCTGTAATAGAAGGCTTCACAGAGGAGTGATTCTTGAGTTGAGCTTTGAAGGATGAATAAGAGTTTGACAGATGGATGAGCATTCTGAGGAGAGAAAACAGCATGCCTGATGGGATTGAGATCGGAGCTTATTTTGGGAATTGCAGGTAATTTAGTATGAATGGGATATAGATTGTTTGGGTAGAAGTGGACAGACAGAAGGTGAGAGAGGTTTGAGGAATTCATATCATGAGAGGCCATGAGAGTGCCCTGTTGGGTGATAGTTGACATTATGGCAATGGTTGTGATGGAATTTTTAGAGTATGTAAAGTAAGAATTAAAAAGGACTGAGGTGAAAATCTAGGGAAAAATAACTTTCTAAGGTGCAGATAAAAAAGTAGAACATATGAAAGAGACTGAGGAAGAGGCAAAAATTTAGGATGTATAAATAAATCATAACAACAACACACAGAAGATCCCGATGTCCCTGAAACCAAAGGAGAGGTGTGGCCATCAGAATCCAAAGCTATAAAGAGGTCATGTTTGATAATGAGTAAAATGTTATCAATTCAATTGGCAATTAAGGGATCTTTCATGACATTTGGGAAGCAGTGTTAGTGCAGTGGTAGGGGATAGAATTCTGATTCACCTTTGGAAGGAAAATGCTTCTGGGTATTGTCTCATATTCTCTTGGTATCCAGTTGGTCTTCTAACAGTTGTTTGAAAGTTTCAAAGAAAATAATTTTTTAAATCACATTATTGTGCAAAAAAATGACCATGGTTTATTTTAAAAAAAGTATTCTTTCCTATGTCATGATTTTAATTGGGTGAAAGTAGTATTAAGAATTATATCTTCTCAACAGGAACTGGTCAAACATACCACTGATTCCACTGAGAAAGCAAATCTGAAACTCGCTCTTGATGCAATGAAGGTAAGGCAGATGTGTCAGTAAGTTGTTTGTCTTTTCTATTCTTGCCTGTAAATAACAGCATTTACATCACTTATATATATGTGAATATGTGAACATACTACATATGAATTTTTTTGGCTGGGAGAGGTGGATATTTGTTATTAAAATTAGATATCATTGTGTAGATTTAATTTAATCAAAAACACAAAACAAAGGGGTCTATTAAAATAATTTTTGTAGAAGTGTAACAACTTTCATAACCACCATTAGTATTGAATATGATGGTTTTATTTCACATCTCTTTATGGTTACTAATAGAAAACTGTTGGCTATTTAAATGATTGAGTCAGCCAGTGACTTTGGAAAGCCAGGTATGAGCTATTTTCTTTATATGAGGATATCTGCCAGACTTACCATTGTTGATACTGTACATCAAAACAAATGAATTCAGTTTGGGTTTTTATTTTTAGGTACATCTGAAAAATCATGAACCATAGGTAGCTAAAGGCAGGCTTTGCAAACATATTGGGGAATATATAAAACCCCAATTTTCATATTATACTGAATAAAAATGACCCTGAAATAGTATTTTCCCATAACTTAATATATAAGCCAGCATTTGTTCTCGCAAACAAAATGCCATTGGGACTCTGTCTGAGCAATGCACAATTACTTATTTGTGTCCCTGCAGCAATTTCAGCGTTAGTGCGGCTGTGTAGCTGATTTTAGCACCAACTATTAGGAAACATCCCATGACTATTTATTATTATAAAAAAGTCATCAAGTTTCTAATTTTTAAATAAATCATTTATGGATGCATCCTGTGGAAAGTCAGATTTCCATTTAGAACACAGTTAGGAGCTGCTTTTTGTCAGACTTCTGTTCCCACTGTTGCAGCTGCATTCAGACGGTAGAGAAAAAAGAAAAAGAGCCCCCAAACAGGAAAATCTGGAGCACGCATAATAAAAATAGCTAGTTACAATATGGAAAGATGAGCTAATGTTTCCTCAGATATAAGAAAAGACATTTTAAAATAGGTGAAGACATGTGGAGAGACACGGCCAGTGGGGTTTTTTTTTTTTTTTTTGGCTCACTTGAATTCATTTTTCTGCTCTTTAGTTTCTCACCTCTTCGTCATTTTTCCTTTTTTAACTCTTTTTAAAATCGAACAGGCTTCCTTAGTTGAATGCTGTCAGTACCTAAGATATTAACTGGTTGCACAAAATAGTCCTGCTGATCTGTTGTCTAACTTTCAGTTACTCTTTCCTCCCTTGTTAATCCTTCATCATTGCCCTTATTCTAACCCATTTAAAAATGTAATTCTCTCAAGTCAGTTATTAATATGTTTGGGATTTACATTCTTCTGACCTAATTCTTGTTGTTGTTGCTGCCCTGCAGGGTGGCAAGTTTTGTTTGTTTTTGTTTTGTAAGACAACAGCATCCTTGCTTTCCTCAGGGGTGTGGTAGATGACAGTTTTCCCAGCTGGACTCCAGACATTTTTAAATTGCCTTTGTGATGCACTTTTGATTGATTGGATGTTCATTGTACTGTCATTGAAAAGTTATAGTGGTTACTTTTACCGCTAACAGAATTAATGATGTGTTTTTTTTTCCAAAGCAGTTCTCGTCTCTTCTCTAATATTAGCATGCTTCTTTTTGTACCCTTGTCTTTATTCTTTAGGACTTGGCACAATATGTGAATGAAGTGAAAAGAGATAATGAGACCCTGCGTGAAATTAAACAGTTTCAGCTATCTATAGAAAATTTGGTATGTAATTATCCTTCCATCCAACTCCCCTCTACCCCCAAATTGGGGGGCATTCTAGAAGTTTTTGAAGAAAAGATAGTTTACCTCCAGATTTCCATTGTTCACAGGTTTATTTTCCAGTTCCTCTGTTTGAGCATCCGTGTGGATGTCTGGTGGTACCTGTGACTTATCATTGTCCAGGAACTTTCTGCCATCACTTGTCCCTCTCCCCCCAGTCACACTGTGCCTCTTCTCCCAGCAGTCTGAGCTCTAAACATCAGTGTCCATTTTTTTCTTTTCTTTCCCTCACCCACATGCATACTCATGGCTGATTGCAGTTCATTCATTCGTTTTACATATATTTACTGGGTGACTACTACATGCCAGACACTTTACTTGGTGCTGGGGCTATAACTATGAACAAGATGGTTTCGTGGTTGAGAAGACAGTAAAAAAAGCTTAAAAATGCCATGTTGAGGTTAGTGCTACAAACTGCGTGCTGTAACAGAGGGCAATAAGGGGAGTCCTAGTTTAGATAACAAACTGTGGATAACATTGCAAAGACTGGGAATTCCAGAACACTTTTTGTGCTCATGAAGAACCTGTACATAGACCAAGAGGCAGTCATTTGAATAGAACAAGGGATACTGCGTGGGTTAAAATCAGGAAAGGTGTGTGTCAGGCAAGTGCTCAGTGTGTTCAAGAAGCTGAAAGGGAAAAGTGGCTAGAGATTGAGTGAAAGGAGAAGTGATGGGTGCTAAGGTATGAGAGGTGGGCAGGGGAACAAATAAATAAATTTGTTTTTATGCTATGGCCATGTACACCAAGGTGTCAAGTTCGGATTTGGGATTTTGTTGTGACTGCAGTGGGAAGCTAGTGAAGGTTTTTATCAGGGAATGTCATAATCTGACTCATGTTCCAAGAGGATCTTTTAAGCAGACAGACAGGTGTGCAAACTGTTGAAATAATTTTAAGAGAGAGGTGATGGTGGCCAGGATTAGGCTGTTGGCAATGAAAATGGAGATAACTGAATGGATTTAAGATTTTCTTTGTTATTTTTTGGTGGAGCAATCTTAACTGGCTTTTTCTCTGAAACATCTTGAGCCTATCTCTTTCTTTTCATTCTTACACCCACTTCCCCATTTCAGGGCCCCATCATCCCCACCTTGCAATCACAGAAGGCTTTTCCTATAGATGCATTTCCAAAATGTGGATTTCTCAACTCACTGTCTTTCCCAAACTTGTGAAAATTTTCTGTTGTCTTCAAGATTCAGTCGACATTCTTTACCATGATATTTAAGTCCCTCAATGATCTGGCCTTCAACTGTTTTCCTGAACTCATCCAGCTATATCTGCCCACATACATTACATTGCAGCTACCCTGCTGTGGTCTGTGGTCTCTGATTTGCCATACATTTTTTTTTATAGTTCTGCCTTTGATCATAATCTCTTCAGAGCCTAGAATATCTTTTCCCATTATTCCCTATCAAGTTCCCTCAAGACCCAACCAAAATAAATCCCTTTCCCTAATCTCCCATCACCCTGTCCTCTTTGTAATTCTGTAGCACATAGCCCGGACAACTGTTGAACATTGATTTGTATGCTTTCTAGGGGTACAGTGAATTACACATCTGTCTCCTTTATTAGAATGGAATCTTCTAGTTATCAGTGATAATTTTTTAGTCAATTTTTTATTCCCTTAAGCTTTGTACGGTATATATTTGTAAACACTTAAATTTTTTATTTTGATTATCTGCCTCTGGTGAAATAGTTCATTATTTTTAGTCATTAGGTCAGAACTTTTCATTCCTGAGATCTTACCTCAGGGAAGCCATCCCTGGTCCTTTAGGCCAAAGTGGGTCCCCTGCTATGCGTGCTCCCAGTACTTTCCTTCATGGCAGTTGTGTGTAATTGTATGCTTCTATGAGTATTTGTTCCCCAGTTGGGCGGTGTGCTTCATGAGGGCAGGGTCTGTGTCATTTTTCCCTGTACCTAGTATGGTGGCAGGGCCCTTTCGGCATAGTGGTTAAGAGCTCAGGCTGCTAACCAAAAGGTTGGCAGTTCTAATCCACCAGCCGCTCCTTGGAAACCCTAAGGGGCAGTTCTACTCTGTCTTACAGGGTTGCTGTGAATTGGAATCGACTCAACGGCAATGGGTTCTTGGTTTTTGGTATGGTGGCTGGCACACAGTAGGTGCTCAGTACATATTAGTCGCTATAACTCTCTTGTGATTTGGATTCTTCCATTCAATATGCTCTTTTGGTAGCTAACTTTCTCATTAAGGTTATACTAAGACTAATATCGTCTGTAAAGCCCTGGAATTATAAAAGAGAGGCTATTTTTAAAAGACCTGTGCTTAAAAATGTAAAATGATAATGTTTATAATAAGCTAGTTGTGTCTAGAAAATATATTTGTTAATATTTATTTTTGTATATATTATTCAAAACTCAAAAATGTACATTTTGTCGTTTAGAACCAACCAGTTTTGCTTTTTGGACGGCCTCAGGGAGATGGTGAAATTCGAATAACCACTCTAGACAAGCATACAAAGCAAGAAAGGTGAGAAAAGAGGAGCAATACTTATTGTCAAATTGAGTAATCATTATCAGAAGATTAAGGAGCCCTGGTGGCACAGTGGTTAAGTGCTCAGCTGCTAACTGAAAGGTTGGCATTTGGAACTCACCAGCCGCTCCTCAGGAGAAAGATGTGGCAGTCTGCTTCCATAACGATTTACAGCCTTGGAAACCGTATGGGGACAGTTCTACTCAGTCCTGTAGGGTTGCTGTGAGTTGGAATCAACTCGACGGCAATGGGTTTGGTTTTTTGGGTATCAGAAGATTGAGAAAACCTTAGAACAGTTTCTCCAGGACAAAGGAGATGAAAAAAAAAGAAGAAGAATAAGGGAGAAGACCAACTCATGATTTTCTAAACTTTTCTAATATAGATATGTTAGATATTCTCCTCTCTGTCCTGATAACTATTGATTTGTCTAAGTGTAAGCTCTTAAGAAAGAAATGACAAATATAGAAAAGGTCAGCTAGGCTGAAAAAGTACACGTTAAAATAAGATAAAGTAACAACAAATGCCTACCATAAAAACACAATTGTTTGATATTTTTGGTATACATTTTAAAATAACAAAATAGAAATTATCCTAAGAAAGATGTCTGAATGAGGACCATGTAGTGAGATTTTCCTGAGGGAAATTTATATCTGGAGGCCTTGAAGGTTAGTGAGCAGGACCTGGTGTCTCTGATTGTATTTGTGATTTTCCAGCTGGTGCCTTTGTGGCCAAGAAGTCCCTCAGTGGTGCATATGGTTAAGTGTTTGACTACTAGCCGAAGGGTTGGGAGTTCTAACCCACCCAGAGGCGATTTGGAAGACAGGCCTGGCATTCTGTTTCCAAAAGGTCATAGGCCTGAAAACCCTATAGAGCAGTTCTACTCTGCACACACAGGGTCACCATAAGTCAGAGTTAACAACAACAACAACAAATACCAATTATATGTGTATATGTACCTGGTGACATTGCAACCAACAGCAACAGCCTTTGTGACCGACCAAGCAGGCATGTGCTGGAACCTTTGTAGAGGAGCTGGTCGGCCAGCAGGGGGCAGCATCAGCTCTTGCTTCCACTCTGATGCCCTGGCTCCACAGATGGCACCCAGAAGTCACACATCCACTAAGCCTTTCAGGGAGAAATAGACTTTGAAAGTGATTCAAGTGTTAGGCCTCTGTGAATGTATATCTTCAGGATCATTATCAGTGTGTAAAAAAAGTATATGCATGTTAATCGCTGACAATTTATGGAAAGATAGAAATTTCTATAGTGGATGATAAGGTTTATAAGATTTGTTTTCCCTTCTGAATTTCATTGTTTTTAATAAGGAAAAAAAAAAAGAAAGAGAGAAAAGACAATATCAGCATTAAATTTAACCAGAACTTCTCTAGTTTACTCATTGCTCTATTTGTCTCTAGGTGGCCCATTAAATCATGAGGTGGTAGCATAGAAGGTCAAAGCACAGACCCCACAATTAGACCTGGGTGTGAGCCCTGCCCTGCCCCTCCCTAGCAGTGTGACCTTGAGCAAACTGTCTAACTTCTTTCCACCTCAGTAAAATCAAGATGATAATACCTACTGAAGTAGGTAGTCATGGGAATTGAAATGAGTCATGTTTGGGAACAGGATTACCTTGAGTCCTGTCAAGGCATTCTGGCTGACTCCTAGTAACCTCACTAGAAAGTAGCCGTTATTGTTGTCATTATTATTATTCTGTAAATGTTTAACTCTTAAAAAAAATAAAACAGTAATTGCTCATGAACAAAGTTCTATGGCTTAATCTCAACTGGTCCTTATAACAACTCTGTAGTGTGCATATTGCTTTTATGGTAATTTTGCCCATTTTTTAAATGAGGTAACAGAGGTACAGTAAGGCCATTCATTTAGCAAAGGGATATCCCTGGGTGGCACAAAGGGTTTGCACTCGACCACTAATCAAAAGGTTGGTGGTTCATATCCACCCAGTGGGGCCACGGAAGAAAGGCCTGGTGATCTGCTTCTTAGAGACCACAGCCAAGAAAACCATATGGAGTAGTTCACTTCGTAACACATGGGGTTGCCATGAGTTGGAATTGACTCGACAGCAGTGTTTTTTCTTGTTTCTTTGGTTAGTGCTAGGACAGCAATTTTTTTTTGGTTTGTTTGGTTTAGTGCCAGGATACACCCAGTTCTTATAACTTCGAATCTCACATTCTTCTCAATGTGCAACACTTCTTTTTGTCTTTAACTGAAAGGAAAAATAAGTTTGATTTGGTTAAATTAAAACTTTCCTGGAAAAAAAATTAATCCATATGCTTCCGGACCGTTTTGAATCAATCTCTCTCTCTCTGTCTTTCCCAGGCATATCTTCTTATTTGACTTGGCAGTGATTGTATGTAAAAGGAAAGGTTATAACTATGAAATGAAGGAAATAATAGATCTTCAGCAGTACAAGATAGCCAACAATCCTACAACTGATAAAGAAAATAAAAAGGTGAGTTCTTGGAAGTTAATAATTGTACCTTAGTCATAACTTTGAATATTCAAGAAAAGTGTGCTTACCATTTCAGGTATTTTTGTTTCTGGAGATTGATTAGGAACAAGCCTCTGAGAAATAACTGGACAATGCCACAGCTGATCTGATCACTCTAATGCCTTAACGATCAAGGCAGTAAAATACACCTGCCTATAGAAATTGTGGTAGAGATGATGTTTGACTACAATAATAAGTTTGATTGGTCACGGTTTATATGTTGATAGTGTTGTGGGGTTTTTGGTATGATTATGATGAATTTGGAAATATGATGTTATTAATTAATGATACATATTAACCCAAGTCATTTTAATTTTAACAGTGGTCTTATGGTTTCTACCTCATCCATACCCAAGGACAAAATGGGTTAGAATTTTATTGCAAAACAAAAGATTTAAAGAAAAAGTGGCTGGAACAGTTTGAAATGGCTTTGTGAGTATTTCTCCTTTTAAAAGTGTTTTTTTTTTCCTCTCTACTTAAACCACTTATGAGTAATAAAGTGCCAGTAAATGTAACCTAATGCTTGTAGCATATGTACCGAGGCCAGGGAGATGCTTTGCTCTGGAGCATGAGTACTGTTAGACTGTCTGATAACATCAGTCTCCTAGGAGGGGTTTTGGTGAATTTCTTCAAGAAGAAGAAAGAGGGAGCTCTAACCTTCCATTTGGCTTTCTTCTTATCAGCATATTTTAATTCTTCAGTTTTCAGTAGCCCAAGAAAATATTGTTCTAATGATAAACTTGTAACATAATTGTCATGATTTTATGTGTATATACATATATATATGTACACACATATTATTTAAATAGAAGTATACACACATACACAAATATATACATATGTGCACATATCTTAGTTTTAATGGAAAGATTGATTTCTTCCCTCTGTGTGTTCTTAACTCATTTATTGTTTAAATCCTGGATAAATTGCTTGACGTATTCCATTGAGTGCTTTAAGGGCTTGATTTCTTTCAGTATTCTTTCCTGTTACTGAACAAGAAGCTCAACAAAGAGATGGAAAATAAATCAGACTTGTTTCAAAAGGAACGGCTTACGGAGATGTAATTACACAAAAACGTGCCGTTATAAGTGTCTCTTTTTTAATTTTGGTGTTTACGGACTGAAAGGTGCATAAGGACCCTGGTTATGGAAACAGATAGGTCACACTGAAATTCAAACTGTTAGTAAGATGAAATTATTTAGGGAAACACACTTTTATAACTTATTTCATTTGTGTTTTAGCAGTTGTGGAACAGATTCTATGGTGTTTTTGTTTTGTTTTTCTTTAAGAAATGCTCATGTTAATATAAAATAGAGGTAGGATCTTGATGTTTTATTGTAATTCTGAAGAAAGAAAAATATTCTATTGAGATGATTTATCTAACATTTTAGGAGACAGGATTGTATAAGAGAAAGATTTTTAAGCTTATAGACAATTCTAGGTTCAGCTATAATCATTGCTGTGAACTGGCTACATGGTCTTAAACTCTCAGAACCTTAGTTTCCTTGTCTGTAAAACAGAGATAATAGTATTTATTTTGAAGTCCAGATAATATGTGTCAGGCAGAGTACTATCCAAATAGTACAATCACTGTCATGTACTATTGAGCAATATGTGATATCTACTGTTATTGCTATTATTAATATTGTTTTGTATTTAGTATCTTGATATACTTATGGGTGCTTACAGAATCAAAGGGCATTTTCCAGTATACAGTTATAATCCTTATAATTTATAATTATTGACTATAATAATTTAAACAAAAGGGGTTAGTGGTTTTGTGAATTAATGAAGTGACTTTACTACAGAGACCTATTTGGTTTTGGACACAAATGATGAAGGTCGTGACCCCATCCAGTCTCTGATGAGTATTGGACCTCATCTTAAACGCAACCAACAAACCAACCAATTGTCATCTAGTTGATTCTGACTCATAGTGACCACATGTGTATCAGAGTAGAACTGTGCTCCATAGGGTTCTCAGTGGTAGATTTTTTTGGAAGTAGATCTCCAGGCCTTTCTTCCAAGGCACCTCTGGGTGGACTGAAATTGCCAACCTTCCAGTTAGCAGTGAGCATGTTAACTGTTTGCGCCACACAGGGACTCGCATCATAAATCCAGTGTGCTTTCTTAGTGAGGTTTCAAGTGATGGCCAGCTCCTGGAGTGAGCAGTTAAAATTGGAGTGATAGAATGCAGGGACTGGTGATACTGTGCAAAGGCAGAATTGATCTCAAGCCTTTGATCTTGTGGAAAGGATGCTAGGCTAGTAGTTTCATAAGGGTTCTGTTTGGCTACAGAATCTTCAGGTGAGTGAAGGAATTCTGAGGAAGAGGGAAAGTAAGATTTTGTTTTTTTAATTTTATTGTCCTCTAGGTGCAAGTTTGCAGAGCAGATTAGCTTCTCCTTCAAAAACTTATACACAAATTGTTTTGTGACACTGGTTACAATTAGAAGTAAGATTTTTTATCCCAGAGCAGGCAGGCTTCTTGGACTGTATGATAGATGTTGTTAGGTGCTTGAGTTGGAATAGTTACTGAGCCACAGCTGTTCAAGAGTTGTAGTTCTAGGCACCCTACTCTAAAGACTGTATTTTAATCTTTAAGAGACTGATTGATATGCATTGCTTCCTCTTACTTATTTCCGAAAGAGCTTTTTGCCACTAACAGTCTCTCAATTCCATTTAATGTGAAGTAGGATGGCAAATATTTTTATTTGCTTAAGCTGGTTTTCACAGTGATGCTGGAAAATGTAGATGTGGGCACCTAGAGCAATGTTCACAATATTGTTAGAAAGCTGTGGATATGTTTCCCCCAAATCTCTTATATCCAAATGTGTTTTTATGAATTCTCCTGTTAGATTTATAGATTTAAGTTAATAAACATTGCCATACCCATTTTACCGCTCACTAAACTAGCCATCACAGGAGAATTTCAGCAGATTTGTACAGGTTTAACACGGTATCATTTACAATCGAGTTGAGAATCGCAGTTCACAGCATTTTCTTTATCCGTGAGACTGCTGAAATAAGCAACTGGACTCAGATCCTGGTATCTAAAACTGGAGTTGGGTATTTTTTTCCCACTGTGAATAGGATCTAGAGGATCAGACAGTTTCCTTAAATGTTCCTGGAATAAGTCAGAGGTGTGTAGAATATGAAACAAAGGAATGAAATAAAAGAATAAGAATAAAAAAAAAAACAACAAGAGAAAGAAAAGAAAGAGTTAAAACATGAGCAAAAGAATGCAATGCATAAGGTAGAAAATGGTAGACTCAGAACCAGCCTCTAATGTTTATTGAAGGGAACCGAGAGGACCTCTTGCCTGGAATTTCTTTGGAATGACTTGACCCATATTCTTGAAATTCTAATAATTTATATACCTCCCTTGAATGAATAAAGCCGCTTTGAAAAAATGTATATACCATTATTAACACCACTGTCTAATATTAATGACTGTGTATCATGTGCTGAAAAAATAGCATATGGATCATTAACATCTGCTAAAATATTAAAAGCACAAACCAGTTGCTGTCATTTCTGACTCATGGTAACCCCATGTGTGTCGGAGTAGAACTATGCTTCATAGGGTTTTCAATGGCTGTTTTTTTTGGAAGTAGATCACCACACTTTCTCTTTCGAGGGATTTCTGGGTGGACTCTAACCGTCAATTTTAGCCCAGGCTATTTGTGTGTTAAACACTAAAATCACTGGTAGAAGGGAGATGAGAATGGGGGATGGAAATTGCACAGCTTGGGAGCGGCTCTGGGACCAGGCTGCATCATCATATTAGTCATATGGAGGGTAGCCCCTGAGCTTTGTGTTGTCAGCTCCTACAAAGGAGTGTTCTTCTGGTGGGTTGGGTAGGAGGTGGTGATCTAGCTGCTAAGTACCACAAGTGGCGTTAAATCTAGGCACAGTGTTTCTTTCTAATTTATTCCCCTTTTGAAGAATTTGAGGTTGCTTACAATCAGAATCGACCTGACAGCAATGGTTTTGTTTTTTTGGTTTACACTAAAAGCACACATCACAAAATTAAAAAGGAAAATGTAAATAATCAGAGGCCAAGTGGAACAGTGTTTCAAAGCATTTCTTTTAAGCTCAGGCTTTACCAGGCATGAACATTTTGTTGAAATTCACTTTCTGCTATTTGTATTATAAACACAATGAGCATTTTTTCACGTTTAAATATAAATTTATGTTTTATCAAACATAATTTGCTTTAATCTGAAGATATTGCTTAAATATTCTAGGTACAAGAGACATAATTATCAGAAGAAATCAAGTTCATTCAGCAAATAATTATTGATACTTGCCTTGTCGCCAGACATGACTGGATGTTCTGGGCATATAACAAGTAGGGAGTTGTTGCAATCGAATTTTGAGTTTAAGTATTATAATTTCTAAATATAATAATGTTAAATTAATATTTAATGGATTAATTTTCTGCACTGAACTCCTGATATTTTTAAGTCATCTCTTCCATCCAACCCCACTACTGAGTTTTAAATACATGGAGGCCCCCAAATTGTCCTCAACACAGCCCTCTTCCTCCACATGTAATCTCTCACTAATTTCTGAGGATTAGATTTTACCATTTGCCTGTAATCTCCATTGCTGCTCCCCTAGTCCAAGCCTTCAGCATCTCCAAGTAGTTTCTGCGTCTCTGGCCCCCTCCCCACAGGTCCATTCTCCTCTAAAACCCAGAACCGTCTGATTGTTTCATTCTCTACTTAAAACCGTTTGTGGAGCCCTGGTGACACAGTGGTTAAGAGCTTTGCTGCCCACCTAAAGATTGGCAGTTGGAATTGATTTGAGTTCGAATCCGCTAGCCACTCCTTGGAAACCCTATGGGGCAGTTCTACTCTGTCCTATAGGGTTGCTATGAGTTGGAATTGACTCGATGACAATGAGTTTTTTTTTTTTTTTTGTTGTTGTTGTTGGTCTAATGTCAGAATTCCCACCAGGACCTGTGAAGGCCCTGCATGTTTTTATCCCAGCCACATCTCATATCAGTTTTCCTCTTGCTCATTTTGCTGTCCTCAGTTGAGCATATTTCAGGTCCTGCAGTGTGCACAGGCCTCAGGCACGCATGCACAAGGTTTGCCTACTTGGGGTATCCTTTCCTCCTGCTCTTTGAGTGGCTGGTTATTTACCCTTCAGGCTTTACATGTCACTTGTTGCAAGAGGTGCCTCCTGTCCCCTATGCTAAATTAGTATCCCCACCTCTCCAGTGTTCCCTCAAGATTGTAATTATGAGGCTGGACTAAAATTATCCAAATGTAGTATTTGTAGTCTTATCTCCACCCTATAATCGCCCTGCCTGCCAAAAAGAATCTGTTACTTGCCTGCTCGGGTAAGAAAAAGAATCAAATAATTGAGTTATGGGATTCCCACTGTCTGACAAAATATCACAACAGCCTTTGGGGGAGAGAA